CAGGGAGTGAGTTTTATTTCAGGCCCAGAGTAAGTTTTAATTTTCTTGACAGGTTTCCGCCTCACACAGGTTCCAGTATTTACATGTTTTAATGTATTTCTACTTGAATCCTTAACAATTTCCTTGAAGAACTGTTGTTAGCCCTATTTTACTAATGAGGAAACAAAGGCACTGAGAGATGTAATGAGGAAGCCAGGATTGAACCCAGCGGGTCTGACTCCAGAGCCTAGCTCTTAAACCACTGTTTATTTGATTGAACACCCTTCAATATGTATAAAGAGATTAATGAATAAAAACTAAATTTTTGTTACACAAGTACATTAACCCATGGAAGGCAATCAGGAAATATTCATTCTTCGTAGTAGTACTTTAAGAGATGGAAAACTGAAACAAGGAAGACCTTGGCTCCTCAAGAAGTTGTTGCCACATGCTTCGTTAGGTTGCTCAGCTCCAGTGCCTGCTTCAATGTTCGATGGCTTCATTCGTTTAAAGCATTCCACAGAAATTGCATCTTATTTCCCCAATAACTTTCTAATGTCCAATGTTATTTTTTCATTCTTCATACCATTTTTAAATAATTATATATTTCTTACTAGGGCAATATGCATCATAGTCTCAGATAAAATTAGCTTTAACAACAAAATTCAATAGAAGCAAATGCACTTTGATCACTTCTACATATTCGTAAACACTAGAGTGACGGACACAAAGGATACGCAGAGGGATAACCACTAGTGTTAGTGTTAGTCTTTCATGGGTAGACCAGATGTGATGGCAGGTGTATAGGAAAGTTCCCCCCAACACTCACTCCCCCACCTCCATTTCCAAAATAAAAATGTTATCTTAACTTTGGGTAGTAATGAGAATTCCATTGGTTTTAACACTTCCTTTCTGAGTCTCTAGAATTTTAAAAATGTTCAAGTGGAATTAAATTCATCATTCACTGTCTTCTATGTAAGGAGCTCTGGTAGTAGTGTCATGATTAAGGCATTTGGCTTCTAACCAGAAGGCCAGCAGTTGGAACGCACCGGCTGCTCTGCAGAAGAGAGAATGGGCGGTCTGCTTCCCTGAAGATTTATAGCCTTGGAAACTCAATGGGGTTGCTGTGGGTCGGAATCGACTTGATGGCAGTAAGTTTGGTTTGGTTTTTGGTTTATCATCTACATAGGGACGCTATGAAAATACTAGAGTTAAGCATAAAGGAAGAAGATGCAGGGAAGAAACACCGGTGGTGAAGTTCAAGTACTTCCCAGTGTTAAACATGATTTAATACCACAGTATGTTCATATGTTATATTTTGTTGCAGAGATACCTTATACAACTCGATCTTATAAGAGAAGCCTAATTTAATAGGCTTCCTGGGTAGTCTATACAGCTTGGAAGGGTTGACCACATCAAAATCATAAGCTCATATAGGCCTATGCACACACACACACACACACATATGCATAGTTTATTTGGCTACATAAAATGAATGTAAACA